GACCTTTTTAGCCATCTGGTGCCGGCTAGTATATTGTTGCGTATAGCAGCATTCCCGCCGCCATCACGGCTAATCGGGCTTGACACTATGTATTGGGGTTTTTCGGAGAATGGATGTTTCACCACGAATCGGCCTACTTGTCGTTGGTGAACACCCATTCCATAATTAATCGACTATTATGGCGAGTCATATGGAAATGGATAGGCCCTCAGCGGATCCGTCAATTTCTTTGGTTGGCTGCTCAAGAGAAGCTCCTCACTAACGTTGAAAGGCGACGACGACATCTCACTGGGGCATCTACGTGTTATCTATGTGGGCAACAGGATGAGTCGACCCTGCACTGTCTACGGGATTGCGTGAGAACTAAGCAGGTTTGGCTACGTTTGCTTCCGGCTAACCACTATCCTGAGTTCTTTCACATGCCTTTACGTGATTGGTTGATCCAAAATTTGCAAAATGGGCTAGCTATTGGGGTAGTTGGCTGGGAAATGATTTTTGGTGTCACCGTGTGACAGATCTGGAAGGGAAGAAATGAAAAAAAAAAAATTCTGATAAGGGGTTCGTTGTGGAGAGGAAGGTTCGGGAGGTTTGCTCTTTTGTTCATGGAATCAAGCTAGCTACCTCGGCCGGCTTACACTTGGGCGGTCTCGGCACTGACCGTATAGTCCGCCTTATTCGGTGGGATGCCCCAGGAGTTGGAGTTGTTAAAATCAATACAGACGGCTCCCTTTTGACTGCGTCTGGAATAGCAGCAACCGGGGGGTTGCTTCGTGATTCTTGTGGGAGATGGCTTAGGGGGTTTGTCATGAATATTGGTTTTTGCTCTATAACACGGGCAGAGCTATAGGGCCTTTTTCAAAGTCTCCTCTTAGCTTGGGAGTTGGGCTATCGCAAGATTTTCGTCGAAGGAGATAATAAAAGTGTGGTGTTAATGGCGAATGGCAGTTCAACGGAGATCCTTGGAGTTCATGGTAGTGTGGTTCGGGCCATCCGAGAGCTGTTTAGTCGGGACTGGGAGACTACAGTGGTCCACTGCTATAGAGAAGCTAATTTCGCGGCTGATTGTTTGGCAACTCTAGCGTATCAATATCCTAGTGGGTGCCACCGTTTGTTAGATCCACCATCGGTAGTTACACCGTGGATACAATATGACCTCATTGGCGTTGCTTACCCGCGGAATATAACTGCCTCAAATTCTTAGGCTCTGGCCTCCTATCTTTGTACAAAATAAAAGGCCTCTTTCGATAAAGGCGGTGTTTCACAAGGGGTACTGCAGAACATATGCCCTTCGAATGGAAAAATCCAATTGTACCATGTTTTATACCGTATCGTACCGGCAGGTATTACCGGTAATATCGGATACCGGTGATCTGACCAGTACGGTTACACTCTAAATACCGTTTTGGCCAAAGTACAGGTTTATACCGGGTTTATATCAGAAAATATCGGTCAAAATACCGGTTTATGCCATTTTTTTAATAAAAATTATTTTTAATATATTTTAAATAATTTATTTATACAAAATAAAAATTCTACACTTAATTTTAATATGTTTACATTGTTATTAGATATTAATTAATTTTAGTATTAATTAAAGTTTAGTTTACATTATTTATATTATAATAACAAATTAATTTAATATTTATTAAAACCGGTAAAATAGACGGTAAACCAGTTGAACCGGTTGAACCGCGTACAGTTGGCTTGCCCGGTATAATTACCGGTACGGTATATAAAAAACTGCAATTGAATGAGGATTTGATTCATCCGACACCTTTTGGATATAAAGGAATGCGAGTTATACTTGGTTAACCCAAAACAAAAGCAGGTTTGTTTAATGTTATGTGAGTTCCTTCAAATGGAAAAATTCAATTGAATGAGGATTTGGTTCATCCGACACCTTTGGATCTAAAAGAATGCGGGTTTTACTTGGTTAACTCAAAACAAAAGCAGGTTTGGTTGTCGAGAATCGTAGCTCTATATTCGAATAAGAATTTCTAAAAATGGAAATGCTAACTCCTACTTCCAAGAATAAGAGTAGCTCTATCTACATTAATCCAAACCGCTACCTATATCGATATAATTCTTTGAAGCGATCATTTAGCACTTACACCTTCTTTAAGTTTTTTCTTTAGAACTATTTGAAACTATGTGGATGCAACTAGTGTTGTTAAATTAAATGAACCAAGATCGGCTCGGCTCGTTAAGGCTCGAGTTCGGCTCGAGTTCGAGGCCTTAACAACACGAGCTCAAGCTCATTTAAATCTTGTTTAGTTAACGAGCCGAGCTCAGGTCGGCTCGATAAGGCTCGAAAAGAGAATTTTTATATAATTTTTTATAATTTCGCTCGTTAAAACTCGAGATCGTCTCGTTAAGGCTCGAGCTCGAAGCCTTAACGAGCCGAGCTGAAGCGCGATTTTTGGCTCGCTTACTAAACGAGTCGAGCTCGAGCTCGATTCGGCTCGTTTACACTGAGCCTCTAGATGCAACTATATCGATATAACTATATTGAAGCGCTCTTTAGTCTTTAGCACTCACACGCTTTTTCAAGTTTTTATTTTGAATCCATTGAAGCTAGATGGATCCTAATCAGTGACGGAGCCACATTGGGCCCAGGGGGGGCCATGGACCCTCTCATTTTTATTAAAAAATCAATATATATATATATATATATATATATATATAATTCTTTAAAATATGTATAGATATGCTAAAAATATGTACAATATATTAATATTAAAATTTATTTTATATACTATTTTAATTAAATAATAATATTATTTATTTATTTAATGAAAACGTACTAATAATAATTATATTTTACATTTCTAAATAAATTTTTGAAAATATTTATAATGATTTACTCTTTCGGTCTCTTAATTGTAAATTGGTTTTTTTATTTATAAAATCAAGTATTTAATTGGATTGTTACTTTTTTTAATATTGATTTTTTTTCTTATGTAATCACACATTTTTAACTTTATTTATTTTCTTAAAAAATATTTATTTGATAAGCTCTGATCAACAAAAATATTGCGATGTGCTTCGAAATTTCAATTTAGATCAATTTTGCAACCAGAAAATTTATATTTATAGATGTTGAACTTAAATTACAAATACATGAAATTTCAAATAATTTTTTTTTTTACTTTTTTAAAAGTTTGAAGGTGATACGGATAAAGGGGGTGTATTCAATTTCAACTTTTAGAGACCTTTTAAGACTTTCAGAATCCTGGTGTATTCAATTAGAACTTTTAGAGACTTCTGAAAAGTTTACATGTATTCAATTGAGACTTTTAAAGACTTTTAAAAAGTCATTAAAAGTCTCAGGGTATTCAATTAAAAATTTTTGAGAGTCTCTATAAGTCACCCTGTATTCAAAATATGAAGACTTTGTGAGACTTTTTAAATTGTGAGACTTTTAGAGACTTTTCTCTCAAAATTACAAAGAGAGAGTCCCAACAGAAATCTCATCAATATTGGTGAGATTTTGTTGGACTTATGTGATTCTCTTCACGCTCCCTTTCTTTTTTTCTTTCTAAGACGACTTTATATCTAATATCACTTTCATGCTTTATTATTTTCATCATTTATTTTGATACCTTGTATAATTTTTATTTTCATTACTTATATTTAACGTGATCTTTATTTTATATATTTTTCATTATGGTTATTTTATGTATTTATACCTTTATTCTTTCGTTTTGTTATCTTGTGAATCTGATTTTCTAAAGGTTAAATGCTTCCATAGTTTGCACTTGCAAATAATTTATTTGTTCTCTCTTTTTATTTGTTAATGTTTATTTTTTAATATTAATAAAATTATTTTATTTTCTAATAGTTTATTTGTTGATATTGAATTATTTTGAAAATTATTTATTACTTTATAAAATACAATTACTGTTTTTCGACAATGTTTGTATCTTTCGGCTCGTTGAAACTCGGATTGATTTGCTCGTTTAATAAATCTAAAAATCCTAAACAATTTGTTAGTGAGTAACTCATTTCGTATAACAATGAGTTGATTCATAAATTTTTAGAGGATTAATATATAAAATATTTTTATTTCATTTATTTTTTCTTGATATTAGTTATTATGTACGTTTATTAATGTTTCATTTCCAAACATAATATTATAACTACAAGTATACAAAAGTCTCAATAAGTTTTAAAAAGTTCATTATGAAAGTCTTAAAAAGTCACTAATGAGAATTCTCTGAAAGTCTCAACAAGTCCACCAAAGTCATGAAAGTTTTAAAAAGTCTACAAAAGTCACCAAATTTAAAAAGTTTTAAAAAGTCCTTAAAAATCTCAATTGAATACAAAGTGTTTAAAAAACTTGATGGTAAACATGTAGATATTTATATTTATAGTCAATACATTTTTATATGAAATGAACGTTTCGACTTAAACTACAAGCTCGTTATTTAACATTAAAAATTGGACCCCCTGAATAAAATTCCTAGATCCGTCACTGATCCTAATATACCGACATAATTCTTTGAAGCGCTCTTAGCACTCACACACTTCTTTTTCTTTAGAAACTTGTACGCCATTGAATCTACAAATTATCCCAACCAACCATTCTCAATTTTAGAGTAATGTCAAATTAATATCTTTTTCATTTTTATTTTGAACATCCATGTGATTGAATTCTTCTCTACAATGTATTTGTGCATTTTTATTTTGGACATCCATGTGATTGAATTCTCACCTCTAATATATTTCTTTTAACGCAGTTATTCTCAGAAGGAAATAAATAAATACTCTTAGAAAATGTAAATTTAAGTTGAAAAACTTGAAAAATGATACTCTTCTTAAATATTGTGACCAAAATTCTCCCATCAGCAAATAACCATAAAGCTGAAAAGATCATCCCTTGCACAAGTCTATTCATACCATTAAATAAANATTTCACGAGAGCAAAAATTAAGCTAAACTGCACAAAACCCGAAAAATATATTTCACTAGACCAAAAATTAAGCTAAAACTATCTAATCATGGCCGACACGGAGGAGAACGACCTGCAGCCACTAACTCCGGCCAGCCGCCTCTTCCTTCAGCCGCTGACGAACCAGGTCATCAACTGCGCCGTCGCCTGTGACCACCCAATCGACCCCGCCGCCCTGAAATCGGAGATCCAAAACTCCGCCATCCTCACCCACCCGAGGTTCTGCAGCCTCCTCGTGACCGACACGCGCGGCCGCCACCACTGGCGCCAGACCCGCGTCGACCTCGGCCGCCACGTCATCGTCCGTCCGGATCCCGTCTCCTCCGTCAACGGGTACGTCGCGGACCTCGCGGTCTCGTCCCCGCTCGCCGCCGACAAGCCCCTGTGGGAGGTCCACGTGTTGGGCAGGGCGGCGGTTTTCCGTGTGCACCACGCGCTAGGGGACGGGGCCTCGCTGATGTCTGTGCTGACGTCGTGCTGCCGGAGGGCGGACGGTGGCGTCCCGGCTCGGTCGCCGGAGATTGTTGCCGCCGCCGCCGGCGGGAGGGGGTGGAGGTTTTGGACGGCGGTTAGGGTGGTGTGGTTGAGCTTGGTTTATGTTGTGGAGTTTGTTTTGAGGGTGGTGTGGTTGAGGGATGGGGCCACGGTGGTTAGTGGCGGGGATGGGGTGGAGCTGTGGCCGAGGAAGCTGGCCACGGCGAGGTTCCGGTTGGAAGATATGAAGGCCGTGAAAGGGGCTGTCGATGGGTCGGTGAGTGTTTTTTTTCCTCGACGGCTTGATCATGGTTAGAGTTGTTATCTTTCTAAGAGTCATTTTGATGCCTTACACTGTACGTTTTAGCCAGGTGACTCACCGTTGGATTTGTCTCATCAAAGCGGTTGTAACTACAAATTTTTCGCTCAATTATATTTCATTTGCCTAGTCAATTTTTCTTCCAAAATAATTTGGATTGTTCTATTTTCAGCTTAATTATGATGTCGTCTCACGTTAGTTTCAAGTATGGATCCACCGTTGAATTCTTTGCGCCGAGACGGTCATATATCCAAAATTTCAGACAAAGTGGACGGTCCATTCAAAATTATATGCAAAAACTACTTTTTCAACCCGTGATTAGCTTGCGTCGAGCCCGTTCTGACTTTTATCATGCCATGTACTTTATTTGATGAATTTTTTAAATTAATGTACTAAGTTTGGTATATGCCAAAAAAGTAGACTTTTGCTGAAAAATGACCAATATAATGCATTAAAATGAAAATTTGCCCACATTTATTATTTATTTAATCTATCATTTTTCACATTTTTTGAGAAGAATAAGACTACTATTATAGGTAGATCTAACCATTAAGCAATCATACAATTTCAATATATATATATATATATATATATTATATATTCTAAAAAATGTATGTACACATTCAAAAATTTGACAACTATAATGAAACTTGCAGACAATTAACGACGTTCTTTTTGGGATAATCTCAAGCGGTCTCTCCAGGTACTTGGACATGAGATCAACCATAGGTAAAAATAGCTATCTAATTCATTATTAACATCTAAAAATAGAACTCAAATTGCAGTATTAGTAATTTCTACTAACTTGTCATGTGATGTTGTAGCTCTAAGAGAAGGGGAGCAGATCACAGGCGTGGCCATGGTCAATTTGAGAAAACAACAAGGATTGCAGGTCACATTTGTTTTAGTTATGTTTTTTTCAAAAAGGTTACAAAACGGTCTCCGATCAATTTGAAGGGGACGAATTACAACTTTTTTTGCAAATTCGAATGGGACCTTTTTGTTGCGAAAATAATATTTTTTGTAACTTTTTTGCAAATATAAGAGACGAAATTGAAATCTTCAAATAAAACACAAAAGTTAAAGTAGTGAAACACAGAAGACTAAAATTATAATTTTCTCAAATGATTTATTATAAATCCATTAGCATCTCTTCAAATATTGAGGAAAGGTATACAAAATTTCAAGTTTTAATTTGTTTAGGATTTATCTAAGCTGGTGAAGAAGGGTGAATCTACAACAACAAGATGGGGCAATCAATTTGGGGTGATCCTTTTGCCTGTTTATTATCACAAGAACTATTCAAATCCTCTGGAATTTGTCAAGACAGCAAAAACAATGATAGACAAGAAGAAACTTTCCCTTGAGGCTCTCTTCACTTACAAATCCATGCACTTGATCACTTCTCTTTTTGGAGCTAAGGCAAAAAAAAAATTAAATCCTTCTATTTTTCCATATTTATTCCAAAGTTTTTCGACTTGCTAAAAACCCTTCTCTTTAATGTAGTTTACGAGCATTCTCAATCACCGACTTGTTTGCAACTCGACTTTTACGATCTCAAACGTAATCGGGCCCCGCGAAAAGGTCACGCTTGCCGGCAATCCGGTTAAGTACATTAGGGTGACTTCTAGCAGCTTGCCTCATGTAAAGTTTTTGTTCTCGTTTTTTTTTTTTTTTTTTTTTTGTGATCACTTACGACCAGACCTGACCTAAATCTAATAATATATGTATATCATATATATTTTAACAACTCACGAAAAAAGAAAAAAAAATCACTCACAAAACGCTAAACAATTTTTTGTGTATTTCGACTATAAAACTAGAACAATTTTTTTTTTTTAATTTTTATTTTTATTTTTATTTTTAGTTTTTGAAATAACTCTGAAACTAAACTCTAAGAAATAAAAAAAGAAGACACACGATCAACCCTCTGAATGAAAACACCAATGATGAAGATCGCGTGTCTCGATAACTTAATTTGCGTCGAAAGTAGCTTGGATGGCTTCCTTCTCGATGGTAGGTTGTGGCCAACTTGGATTTCTACTTATCTTCTCACGGTCTTGAGACAGCTCGGATNCAGTCGCACGAGCCGGAACATATTCACATCAAGAAAACCGGCAAAACATTTTATTCAAAAACCCCATTTTCTTCACTTCACCAAACGAGCACGTTATTATTCTTATTCTTTCCGTCATAATATTGCTTTTTCCTTCTAAGCAGCAGCTTCTTCAGAAACCCGAGCTTCTTCCTCTTGCCAGGGACAACCACCAAAGCCTCATAGCCACTCGCCGCCACCTGGCCGTCCGGGAAAGAGAAAGTACTGCCATGGCACCTGACAGGTGGCGCGCTCCTATTGGCCGTTGTGCTTATGATGATTTCTTTCGTCTTGGGGGACTGTTGACCGTCCGATTCCAGGCTGTCCTCGCATATCATCTGATCACGCAGAGTTGACCGTTGTTTGAGTGTTGACTTTTTTGTGTCGAGAAGTGAGTTTTCGTTTTGTGGGCCCAATGCCTTTATCTGCTGCCCGAGCTTCATAATGGTTTGCTCACACTCTGCCAGCTTAACAGAGGCTTTCGTGATCTCCATTCCCTGCAAAATTCATATTGTGAATGAAGGATCTTTTTGCAATTATCCTTAACTTCTGTTGCAAGCCAAATGAGATTTATGAGAAGAGAAAATTAAACTCACAGTTTGGAGCAAGTCTTCTTCTTGATTCCCATTTCCCTCCGAGCACCGGATGTTCGTAACACTTCTCGACAAAAAAAAAATCACAAAAACCCGATTAAAATGAACTCTTTTNTAAAAAAAAAAAAAAAAAAACCACCTCGCGAGCTGCAGCTGAAGATCGACACAAGTCCCTTCCAATTCCTCACAAAACCGACTTTTGTCATCGAGCTCAACCTCAACCGAAGATAGCTTTCTTAACAAGTCTTCTAATTCGGATCGAGCTACAGTTAGCTGAGTATCCAAATCCAAATTCGCTATTTTCAGATCCTCGATTTCATTTTTCGACTCAATCAGCTCGTTATGGAAAACCGAGCGCATTTTCTCCATCTCACGCATGAGATTCTGAACCGAATCGAGCTCGAAGGCAGTTCCCGGCCCGGGCCCACCTAGATGCTTCCGGAACTGATCTACAACCGTTGGATGATGAGGATCATGATCATCCTCATCGGACGGTGCAGGGGATTTCCAAGTAATGTAACCGCTAATCGGGCTTAACTCGGGTTTTTTTCCAAGCCGGGCCTCGCTTTCAAGAGCCTTTCGGATTTCTTCGAGAATTTCTTCAATATTTCGTTTCGAAATTTCGATTTGTTTCATGATTATGTTCTTAACATCTCGAATCCAATCGTCATTTACCGTGACTATTGCTAATTTCTCCTCCATCTCGACAAAATCGTCCATTAGGCTCATCTCGGAACAATTATTATTATAAGCTCCTATCGTTCTGCATTCGGGCCTGTTTTCCGGGCCTTCGGCAAACTTATCGGCCCACGATCGAGAGCTAGCTAGAGAAACTCTGTCTGAAAAATTCAAATTCTTGGCATAAAAGTGATACAAAATCTCCTCCTCTTTTTGGGCCAAGCATTCCTTGAGAGCCCTGTTTTCATCTTCCAAATCCCGAATTCGGCCCAACAAGGAATTATTATCGGGCCTTGCCGGGAGGCCCGCTCGTCTCGAAACGCGAAGCCTCTGGCATTCGGCTTCCAATTTCTTTACTTTCTTGATATTTTCCGAATTCTGCTTTACACGTGCCTCGGCCGAACGGCGAACGTACTCTATTTCCTCATTCCGGGCTTCGAGCTCGCTCTCGAGGGCCCGAAATTCGTACCTCAAGAAAGCGTTTTCCTTCTCGGTTGAATCGAGTCGAGTCATGAGGGCATCGAACTCGGCGTCCTTCCGACACTTGGCGCGATTGAGATCGTCGATGAGTTTTTCTTTCACGAGAAGGGCTTTCGTGAGGTAGGAATTCTCGGATATTTTTTCTTCGAGCATTATACGGGCTTTTCCGAATTCTTGCTCGCGGGCTCGATTTAGCTGGTCCATGGAGTCCTTGAGGGCCGAGTTCAAGTGGCAAATTTGCTCGTTTAAAGCCGTGTTTTGCTTTCGAGCTTCGTCTAGCTCGAGTTGTGCTTTGAGCTTGTCTGAAAACAAAATATATGTGTATATATGTATATATAAGCATAGTTTGATCGAAAACTATGAAAAGAAATTCGGAATAATCGATAATTCGTCACCTGCCGTAGCATTTTCGGACAGTTTTTCGTGTTCTTGAATGATTTTGTCTTTGGCTGAACACTCATCAAGAACTGAAGCTAGCTTTTGGTTTAGGCTTTTCAATGAATTCTCAAAATCTAATTCCTTTTGGTTGGGAATTGATTGTACCTAAGCAAATTTAATCATTTTTTTTTTTTTTATCATATGAGATGTTCATGTTTTAGAATATCTTTAAAATAAAATAAAATGAAAAAATTTCACTTACTTCATCATCATTTGCAACAATTAGCTTCTCTGATGATTTTTTCCTCCATAGCCAAGTTTTCTGGTCCATAATTGCTGAGAAATGAAAATTAGAATATTATCCAATGAGAAAAGGAAAGAAAAAAAGAAGTAGAAGAAAACAGTGTCATTTTCACAACAGTTCGTTCCAGAAAAAGGAAACAAAACATAATGAGAATTTTGCAGAAACTACTCAAACATAAGACAAAGCAAAAATAGAACAATTTTTTTCATGGCTTCATATTTACCAACAGTATCAGTTAAACTACTGTAGTTACTGTTTTTGTGAACTGATTAACATGTAAGAAGATTGGTGCTGCATGCTGACGACATAGTGAACATGAAATGGGGAAAATCAGAATTATGCAAATAATACAAATAGTCAATTACCAGTATGCTTAAAAATGCAAAAAAATAAAAAAAAAAAATTGATAATCATCATGATACCTTATAAACTGAAGCTTCATAAGAATTCACAGAGAAGGCCAAGCTTGGAATGATAATTCATTAAAACACAAGGCCAAGCTTGAAACTTTTGGATATAACAAGTGAAAAAAACAAAGAAGAGTGAGCACAATTATAACTGTATTTAATTCCACAACTGAAAAGGAAAAAGTGTTCCCCAATTCCAATTTCCACCGACAATGGTTAGCTGTAAATAACGAGAGAGTGAAAACAACAGTACAATGTGCATCAATTAAATGGGTGGATAATTCTAATGAAGACGGCCGTGTCATTTTTATTTTATTTATTTATCTATTTATTTATTTACAAAGTGATAATATATTAAAAAATAGTTACACGAAATCACTGTCCAACTTGGACCTCCACTTCCACATATTGCGAAGAGGCGTTTAATAAAGAAAACAACACAAACCCATGTTTTAATGGTTGATACAAATATATCCGTTCTTTTNTATTACATTTTAAAAAAATATATATGATCAGTTGTTGGTGAAATTTTGAGTATATTAAAATAATATTTATAATAAAATAATTAAAGTTGATTTGATGAAAAAATAGAAGAGATATGATATAAAATGATGATTAGTTAAAATTATGTGAGTGAATACATAGTGAATTAAATTTAATGTGGTGGTTAGTTAAAATTAGTTGGTATCAATTATATTGATAATATTTGGATTGTATATTGATAATATATGGATGGTGGGATTAAGATAAAATTGAATTAGATTTTGAGTATAAATTGAATATGTATTGAGTTTATTTATATCCAAATACACCCTAAGACTCTTGACTAGTCGGCTCATCGGGTTACAGTCCAACCATCGGGTTACAGTCCAACCATCTGGTCAATTGATGAATCTGATACTAATTTTAAAAAAATATATATGTTTAACATTATCTTTGTTTAATAAGTTATAATTATACATAAAATTAACAAAAATAAATAATCTATACATGAAATTTATATCTCAAGGTCCAAGTAGTGTTTTGTCATGTGTATTTACTATATATATAATTTTATTTATAAAATAAAGTAAAGTAAATAATGGTCTGATCAAAACCGACCACAGCGGGTCAATACCTGAGCCGACTAGGTCGAGGTCGGGTCGAGTCAGACAACTTTAACCGAGTCTCTTATCCTAAATAATATATTTAATGTGGGGAACTTTATAGGAAAAATAAAACAGGTCAACTATATAAATTTTTAAGTAAAAATGCATACATTTACTGTGAAATATTGTACTTTTGTTTATGTTGATTTGTAAAACATGAGATGTTTGATATATTTATATATTTGTTGAAAAGTATGATTGTGTAACAATTAAATTAGATACATTTTATCTGGTCATAACCCTCATTGGCTATAGATTAAAAGGAAATAAAGTGTGAAATAAAGTTTTTGATTTCATCTATTGATTTATATATATATATATATATATATATATATATATAGGATGTGGTTCAAATGAGAACCAAGTCCTAGTGTGAGAACCGTGAGAACCGCTATTTTTAATTGTATGTAGTGCTATGATTAATTGTGTTTTAGTGCTATTTTTAACTAGGATGTATTTGATTAAAAATAGCAACAAAATTTTTATTAGTATTTATGAAAATGATAGCACCATGTAATATTAAAAATAGCATCATACACCATTAAAAATAGCATCAAATATGGTTCTCACGGTTCTCACACCAGACATAGTTTTTATTTGAACCCACCCCTATATATATATATATATATATTTGTTTGGTAGGATTGGTATAACCCCATTATAAATCAATAGATGAAATCAAAATCTTTATTTCACACTTTATATATATAACATGCATAATGCAACATGTTAATAAATGTATGTAGAATATGACTCTGCACCTTAATTTAGGGACGTCCTGTTTGAGCTTTTATATGGCCATATGAAATTATGTGAGATGTTTGGTTTTGTCCACATTTGTATCATTATAATTTAGCCGATTGGCATTTTACAAGCACTTTTGAATATGAATGTCTCCAAACAATTTGTCTGAATCATAAGGAGATGCCTAGCCAAATATGCCATTTAATTAATCTATAAATCTAAGTTAATGATTCTCCATTTCCTTGCTTATTTTTGTGAACTTTTATGTATCAGCATATTACTTTAAGTAAGGTGAGTTAAATAATTATCAGCACAAACGATGTCACGGAGACTCATTATATTTTTAAACAATAAACTGTAATTATACAGACAAATCATACTTTTATTCGTTGTTGTTTTTTAAAGATAATATACAAATAACATTGTGTTGAATAAATATTTTTTTTTCGCAACATATACAAAACATTTTTTTTTTAGTAGAATGCAACATCAACTTTAACATTTGTACTGCTGATAATTGTATGGCTAAATGTACGATATACTCGAAATTATAAATTAATGTTCATGAATTTCATGTTCTATTTTACCAAAAAAGTTGCAAAGTCCAAAAATACATACAATTATGATCATTTAAGTATGAATTGTAATATTTAGATCTAAGTTAATGATGCATATCTCCCCTCTTTGTCTTCCCTTTCATTATTTTATTCATTCTGGGCAATTTTACATGAGATTTCTCCAGTTGAAGTAGAAATAAAAATGTAAGAAGATATTTGTGTGTATCTTATTTCATGAACTTATTATAAGTTTTTTCATAAAGAAAAGGAAGACAAACAAAATTTCCAGATAAAAATAAAATAAAATTTGGTCAAAAGAAGATAGTGGAATAAAATGCTTATACATCTATGCCACTAGAGGCATAATGATACTCTTAACAGTGCAAAATATTAACTTTTTCATAGGATGGAATCAATAACTGGGCCTGCGGATAATTTATAAAGGTATCAAGAATTATAAAATGAAAAAGGGAAAAAAAACACTAGATGATTATATTTATTTTCTAATATTTTGTTTTTTTCTAAAAGCAACAAACTAGAATATATAATTGCCTTTTGATGTATAAGAATAAATAAATCACCTCAATGGTTTTCTTATGTAACTGGACCCATGCATCTAAAAGAAAGAAAATGCCAAGTGCATTTTCCTTTTGCTTTTCTTTTTTTAATATATTTTTGTTCTTTCTGAGCCTTTCCCAATCATTTTTTTTTTTTTCTCTTAAACTTTGATAAGGGCACTATTTATAAAAATATTTTGAAAAAGGGTGATGAAATCTTTTATGTGATGTGAAAGTTTAAAGTTTAGGGAAAAATAAAATGAAAGCAGGCAGAAAGAAAATGGTGTAAATATTAAAAGCACAGATAGTGATAAGAAATGAAGGGGAGTGTAATAATTATGTTCGTTTAAAGTAAAAGAGAAAAATGCATTTTTCATCCTGTAAGTTTACTCTTCTGAACAATTTAGTCCTCTTCGAGTAGTTAATTTGAATTTCGTCCTCTAACTTTTAAAAAATATTGCAGATTCGTCCCTGACTAGCCGGAAACCCGTTAATTGCCCGGAAATACGCACGTGACACGCACGTGATGGAAATTAACGGCTCTCTCGGCCTACGTGGAGCCGGATTTCACACGTTGGCTCCCTCAGTTACACGTGGCCGGCAGAAATTAAAAGAAAAAAAAAATTCCACGTGGCGACACACGTGGAAAAGAAACGGTAATAAAAGGAATCGGGCTACTATCTTTGAATCATTTCCATTTCCTTCAACCCTAATTTCCCAGATCATAAGATCCCCAAATCTTCAAGAACCCTAATTTTGAAAATTGTTGATTTCGTTCTCCAAAATTGTCGATTTCGTTCACCTTCAACATGTCTGAGTCGTCGCATTCTACCGGTTTCTTGGAATGTCGGTGCAGAAAAATGGTTGTTATTCGTACATCATGGACGGCCGACAACCCGGGCAGGAGATTTCATTCTTGCCTCGAGTACAAGGTACGGTGTTCTCTTAATGACGGATTATATGTAGAATTATATGTGTGTTTCGCCGTGAATCATGAAGGGTGTTTTTTGTGTTTATCACGTGAATATATGTAGAATTGTATGTGTGTTTCTGGTTCTGTTTCTTGCAATGTTCAATTATGGGATAATGTAATGTTGATGAAGAAGAAACTGTTGGTTTTTTTTTCTTTTTTTTCTTGTTTCTGTACAACTGGGTTTCTTATTGTTTCATGGCTGTGTTGGTTCTGTTTTTGTTGTATGGTATTATACAAGAGGGTGGTCGATTACATGAATTTTTAATGACACAAATTTCTACTTTGGATTTCATGTCTGTGTTGCTTTTGGTATTATACATGATTTCATGATTTTTTGTTGTTTAATGACAATGTTTTTTTTTTTTGTTAATGTATAGAATCCAGGCTGCAATTTTTTCTCTTGGGTCGACCCTCTTACCTGTGACGGTCTGAAAAAATCATGCCTGGGTTATTGAAGAAGATGAAGGCACTGGAAAGAGCAAATGGAAACTTAAATTTTGAGAATACCAAATTGGAGGAGAAGGTTGAAAAACTGGAGGAGAAGATTGAAAAATTGCAGAAAAAGGTTGAAAAGTTGCAAGCATTGAACAAGAGGTTGGTTGAAAAGAAAGAAAAAATGGAGATGAAAATGGGGTTTGCATTGGCTATAGCAACTTTGTTGTGTGTATTTTTGGTGTATAGAATTAGGTGAAGGCTATGGATTGAAGAAGGTTGTGTAATGTGTGTATTTTCTCTTGTAATCTTCTATGTACTCTTGTATTTTGTGTGTACCTTATTTTGGAACATCGGTATGTAATGCACTTGTGGTTTCAATGAAAATTCTTTTAGTTTCTAGAATTGTCTCCCTTGATTTTGAAACTACACTATTAAACCTCATACAAAACTCAACTACACAACTCAACCATTTCATTGTCAACTAAACTGCATAAATAAGTGTGAACATGAAACTTTTCATAACCATCACAACTAATTCAGACTGATCACAACCGTCAAAACCATTACAACTAAATTGCACAACTAAACTACATATCTGAACATAAAGAAGTTGGGAACTTTTCAATCTGAACAATTCAAACTCAACATAAAGAAGTTTTGAACATTTCAAAACCCAACTGCACAACTTATGTGTTCCATCACAACTCAACACAAACAAATTCAAAGGTAGAACATGAGCTTTTCATAACCATCACAACTTATGTGTTCCATTAACTAAACAAAAAAAATCTAACAATATCCTGCCATTCAGTTTCCCACCAAAATAAACAATATCCTGCAAGTGTTTTAC